CCGTGAAACTCTAGGATTTGAAAATCCTGACAGATCTACGTCACACTGCCGCTTAACATTCATGGACTCACCCTCTTGGCTCACGATGGGGAAGGCTGTTGTTGGTTTAGCATCCAGAAAACAGCAGAGACTAGTAGAGGCTAACCATTAGCATTAGGAACTCCACCACACAGAAGAACTTCTCCAGGCTTGTGTTAATTGTGGAGATAAAACATCAATGTTGCAGAGCAGACAATCAGTGGTAGAGTCGTTGCTGTTAGCCAATCAGAGTTGTGATGTCCAAATATCAAGAAAGAATTCAGAAAGAAACCTTTGGAGAGCCACTTGGGCCAGCTCCTACAGGGGGAATCCCAAGGCGTTCCCCGGTCAGCTGAGAGACATAGTCCCTCCAGCATGTCCTGGGTCTTCATTTAGGTCTCTTTCCAGTTGGACGTGCCTGGAAAACCTCACCAGGGAGGCATCCTAACTAGATGCCTGAGCCACCTCAACTGGCTCCTCTCGATAAGGAGGAGCAGCGGATCTACTCTGAGCCCCTCCCGGATAATCAAGCCTCTCATCCTATCTCAAAGGGAGAGCCCAGCCACCCTGCAGAGAAAACTCATTTCGGCCGCTTGTTTCCACAATCTCATTCTTCCAAAGTTCGTGACCATAGGTGAGGGTAGGAACGTAGATCGACTGGTAAATCGAGAGCTTTACCTTCCAGCTCGGCTCTCTCGTCACCACGACCGGTACGACCGCCGCATCACTGCAGTCGCAGCACCAATCCGCCCATCTATCTCACGCTCCTCAGAACTCCTCCACTTGGGGCGGGACTTCATCTCTGACCTGAAGAAGGTATTCCACATTTTTCCAACTCAAGACCATGGTCATTTCCAAGTAGTGACTACCTGTGAAGATCGTGAAAGATGAGACTCTCAGCCGTTATAATGTGTTATTTAATTTTCTGATTTTTATGGATTACCTGCTTTAATTTCAGTCTTCACAAGCTAAGATGATTGGTTAGGTATTTAATTACCTACTGGAAAATTGCAAAATCGTCCATTTTAGATGCTCCTGCAAGAAGCCTAAGCAGCATGTTTTGGGTCTTTCACGCATTGCCAATCAGTTTTGCTGCATTTTGCGGAGTCTGAGCAGCCAGTATATCCCTTCACATCAAGACTAAAGCAGCCAGATCTGCTCTGCTTCTGTCTTCTGACACATCATCAATAAAACCCAGTGACCCAGTAAGATCACACTACCTCCCCTTGTTTCTTAGGTGATGCTATGGACTTCAAACCACGCACTGTTCTGAGCCTTCCTTGTACGTTATTTTTTTGACACTTTGTTGAAGGTTTGTCTTAGTTCTTTTGTGTGTGTCCAGATTGATATTTTCCTGAACTGTTCTGGCTTTTAAAGATGCTGGGTGGACTATAATATCTCTCCTGTACTGTTGAGGCTCACAAGTCTTGAAGTGAAGCATTTTTTTATGGTAGACTTGAATAATGATACGTCAGCCTCCTGGGGAGCAGTCGCCTGCTGACTGTATGTTATGAAAGTTTTATTTATTTATTAATTTTATTGACTTTTCAAGTAAGAGAAAGAATTCTCTGATCTCCATGGACGTAATTTTTTTTGGGGGGGGGGGGGGGGGGGGGCATGTCCCCCCCACATTTTCCTAAGTCAAGTTTTGACCCCGGCACTTTTTACCATCCAAAAACAATATTACTTTAAATTAAATTGACACTGGTTGAGCTCTAGGACCAAGCGGAAAACAACCGTTTGTGTTGAAGCCCGTTTCCCATTAGAACATACTGTAAAGATCCCACAGAAGTGTCCCCTGCACTTCTAAAGTGAAAAACACGTCAATGCTGATCTCCCATTGTCGTCATCTTCTGTGGACATCTTAAATAGCAAGTCTCTCTTTTTGTGGTTGCTGCTTTGACCCTCATAATGTTTCGATCCCGCTGATGGGTTTGTGGATGGCCTTGGACTTCTGAAAAAATCAATTGTACACTGGTATGATTGAGAAATCACACAAGAGCAGTCCTCAAACTGTCTCTGCAAAGAGTCACTTGAGTCTTTATAACCCAAGGACCATTTTTTTGCAACTTTACATTCAAATGTCTAACTTCATTTGGCATAATGTTGTGCAAACTATGGTGGGTATTTTCACCGCCCTTCCTTATAACAACAAAAGGACTGTATCTTCAATAAAGGGGAAAAGCATCTTGAGAAGATCTGCAATGGGGAAAAGAGCACGTTTTAGGTTCGTTTTCAGTTTTTTGATAAGGAGTTTGTGGTGAGAAGGTCATTCTTTGGTCAGATTTGATTATAAATATTATTTTAGGATGGTGAAAGACTTTAATAATCAAATTAAAATGACAACATAGGGTCTTCTGGCCTTCAAATGCTAGAATGGGAGATGGGCCACCAGTGACAATGCCCTCTATCTTCATTTTAAGTTGATGATGAATGGTTCCCCTTATTTAAATGGTGAAAATGTCCACCATAGTTTGATGGTGAGAAGATTAACGTTTCGGGTTATTGTAATGATAGATGGGTAAAGATGGCCGGAACCCATTGGGGTTTAATGGTGAGAATGCTCTTTATCTTGGGATTGTACACAAGCATAGTGAAAAGGGCCAATGTTGAAAAATATGCAAAGATGGTGGAATGACCCACCGGTGTAAAAATGGTGAGAAGGTTGTCTGTTGATTTATAACACATCTTGGTATGAAAGAGATGGAGAAGGTGCACCAGTCTTTGGCGGTCATTGGACCATTTAGCTCCCTTTGAATTTGATGAGTCGGTTATTGATGACAAGGGTGAGGAGATGGTCAGTAGCTTTTGATGATCAGAAGTCCTTCCATTTTTATTTTTACTTTGATAACAAATCTTGTAAGCAAAAAAGTTAAAGGTGCATTATGTATAAATGAAGTAAAAATGACATCCTGTGGTAAAATTTGGTTACTGCAAACACTTTTAAACAACTCTGTTGTCAAATTACAGTTGTGGGTGCTGCAGTGTTAGCTCGCAGGAGACACGGCACCCTCACACTCACTGATGGTAAAAAGTAGTTGCGTCCCTCCTTCCTTTATTTTGAAAGGAGAAAAACTGACAATCCCCACAGCCAGCTGGATATGAAATATGTTTCAGTTTAACCTTCCTCCTAAATTATTAGACTCTTTTGGGATTTTCTCACCATAAAGTTCTCACCATATTCTTACATATTGCACCTTTAAGACTTTGGTGGTGAGAAGACCATTTAGCTTAATTTCACTTGTTTTTTGTTGACAAGAGGGTTGAGGGGGTCCAGTAGCTTTTGGAGGTGAGAAGGTCCTCTACCTTATACTATACTTAATTATAAATGGTCTCTTAAACCAGGAGAGTGAGACGGCCCTCTGTCTTCATTTTAATTTGACAATAGATGGAAAAGCCCGTGGGTGTTTTATGGTGAGAAGACCAGTAGAAAAACAAATTGGTAAAACAGTCAGATGATTATCAGGATGACCGGTTTAAGCCATAAACTTTGTAGACACTGTAGACAGCGAAAGGCTCAGCTGACCTCACGATGAGGTGAAGACTCAACTAAAGTGAATGACTGTCCCTAGAGAGATTATTTAATCTCAGTGAGTCAACACAGTCCATTCTCCATTTACATGCATGTATTCTATGAATGAATAACACACATTTGATCCCTAAAGAGCAGATAAATAGTGAAAACGATTATTGTTTCAGGCAAAAACCAATAACCTAACTCTTAGGCATCTCCCTCAATGAACAACCAAACTTGACAGAATCATCTCGACAACTGTGAGATGCACAGAGATCATCAATTTATGCTGTTTAGCTCTGTTTAGGAGAGAAAGGGGGGCGTTTGAAATGTAAATATGTAAATATGAGTCATGTATGTGATCACATAGGTTTGTTCGTTTATTTAAAAGGCCAAAAAGGTGATTCTGGAGAATGTAAAGTGGATTAAAACGTGCCACAGCTCCTGGGTGATTTAGAAGAGCTGTCATTTTAATTGGTCGATAGAGGGCGCTCGTCAGCAAGGATCCAAACCCACTGCTGGAATTCCGACTGCTGCTGTCCGTGTGGAAGGTGCAGCTGCCTCCTCTCTTCCCCATCCTCTACCTCACTTCTTCACTCACTCATTACGCTCAACTCGCTAGATCATTTCACACACAAACACGCGCGCGCACACACACACACTCAGGGAACGCGTCCGTTCACCACACGGGAGCAATTCAAAGTTGAAAATGGCATTTTTCCAACTTATCGCAGCAGTTTGGATTAATTGATGCAGGAAATACATTCTTAAATACATTCGTAGGTAAAAATTAGCATATTTTAGAAACCACACATCTGTCCCAAGGTGTGTGTATGCGCCGCTGTCAACAAACCCCTCGCCATAAATTGTTTGGGTGTAGATTGAGCACGCACGCGCGTGCGTGTGTGTACAAAGGTGGGTGGGGAGAATATTTCATTCTTCTTTCACGACCCCCATGTCAGTGAATTCATAGTCGCGGTGTCAGATTCCGGAGCGCGCAGACAAACACCGAGCCCCGCAGCTCTGCACGCGCGACCACACGCGCGTATGTATTAGTAACCCCAGGAGGCGAGATCACAGATCTGTCCTGTAGACACACACACACACACACACACACACACACACACACACACACACACACACACACACACACACACACACACACACACACACACGAGTCATCTCGACCGTCCTCCGCGTGCGTAAAAGTTCTCAGATTTTGCATAGAAATGTCCACTTTTATCCAGAAAATCTCCCAAATATGTTTGCGTCAAATCACGCACATAAGTGTCGTTTCGAGTAAAAACAGATGCATAATAATTCTAACAATATTAATAATAATATTAAAAAGCGATTAGGGTTAGACGTCCGATCCATACCAAGTTCAACCCTGTTTACGTGCGCTGTTCGGAGAGAGGGAGGGAGGGGAGAGAGGAGAGGCAGAGGGGGAAGAGAGAGACTGCAATATCATTTGTGAATCCCTCTCACAGTGCTGCAGACAGGGGCTGCCATCACATGCGGTGCGTCTGCAGGTGAGAGGGTGGCGCGCGGAACATGTTGGACACCGAGAGGAATTCAACCAACACCTCCTAAAAACACTAATCGGATTTTACTCGACTTCCTAATCTGATTTTATTCCACGCTTTTCTTTTCAATGCCCATATTTTTGTTGCCTATGGAGGTGGCTCCTAAAAGAAAAAGAGATTATTGCAAATGACTTGGAAGAGAGAAAGAGAGAAGCAGTTTTTTAAAGCAGGCAGGTCATTTGCTGCAGGAGGATCTGAGGAGCTCCGCTCAGTCCGCGCACACCACCGGCAGGAGAAGGAGTTTGGAAAACTGCGCGTGCCGTTCAGTGATTCCCTGACCGTCTCGTGGACGCTGTCGGACAGAGGGAATACTGCCTCACCCCTCAAAGAAGAAATCTAAAGGCGATTATTCAAAGTGTGAGTTGAGTGACATGGACTGATGCGCGGACTTTTACGCGCCCTGCGTTCAGATATTTGAAGCACCATCCGGAGCGCACGCAGCCCCCCTGACAGTTTTATTACTATTATTGCCTTAAGTAAAAACTAACATCCAGCGCAGGAGGAGGAGGAGAAGTCGCGTGCACTTGCTGCTTTTAACTGCAGCAGAAACGAGAGGAAGTCAACCGGAGGATGAATTATCACGCATCCCGACGCAAAGAGCTTCCGCTCTGAATGAAAACAAGATTTACTAAATAAACTGAACCTGTCCAATAGACGTCTTTACACTTTTTTTTTCAATTCACGTGGACATTATTTTTCTTTTTGCAACCCGAACAATGAGGACTATTGGTGCAGTGGACTATTGCTACTATTGCATGCTCATTTTGCAGCTTGTGCACCAGCCTGCTGCAAAGCAAGTGCTCCGGTACCGCCTGGCTGAGGAGGGACCCGCAGATGTCAGAGTGGGCAACGTAGCAGCCGACTTGGGCATAGTGGCCGGCTCCGGTGAGGTGACATTCACGCTCGAGTCGGGCTCCGAATTTTTCAAAATAGACAACATCACAGGTGAGCTCAGCACGCATGAGAGGCGGATAGACCGCGAGAAACTCCAGCAGTGCCAAATGATCTTTGATGAGAACGACTGTTTTATAGATTTTGAGGTGTCAGTGATCGGACCGGCGCAGAGCTGGGTCGACCTCTTTGAGGGGAAAGTCATCATACTAGATATAAATGATAACACTCCGTCTTTCCCATCCCCTGTCCTGACCCTGTCGGTGGAGGAAAACAGACCAATTGGAACCCTTTATCTGCTGCCCACAGCCACAGACAGGGATTTTGGCAGGAATGGGATAGAGAGATATGAGCTCATTCAGGACAATGGGGAAAACTCTAGGCGCATGGGGAATTCTGGGGATTCATACTCCGGAAAGAGGAGATTTGAGGATGGAGCAAGCAGGAGCAGTGTCTTTGAGCTGCAAGTTGCTGACACCTCTGATGGAGAGAAGCAGCCTCAACTCATCATTAAAGGGGCCCTGGATAGGGAGCAGAGAGACTCCTATGAGCTCGCCTTGCGTGTTAGAGATGGAGGAGACCCCCCTCGCTCATCTCAGGCCATTTTGAGGGTAATGATCACTGATGTGAACGACAACAGCCCTCGGTTTGAGAAAAGCGTGTATGAAGCTGACCTACCAGAAAACAGCCCCCCTGGCGCCCCCATTCTACAGCTGAAAGCGGCTGACGCAGACGTGGGGGTTAATGGTCAAATAGAGTATGTGTTTGGAGCAGCCACAGAGTCCGTACGGAGGCTGCTGAGGTTGGAAGAGACCTCTGGGTGGCTGAGTGTTTTGCATCGCATTGACCGTGAAGAAGTGAGCCAACTGAGGTTCACAGTAATGGCTCGCGACCGAGGTCAGCCGCCCAAAATGGACAAGGCCACAGTGGTGTTGAACATCAAGGATGAAAATGACAACGTCCCTGCTATTGAAATTCGAAAAATTGGACGCATTTTCCTCAAAGATGGGGTAGCCAATGTTGCAGAGGATGTGGTGGTGGACACACCCATTGCCTTGGTTCAGGTGTCGGACCGAGACCAGGGGGAAAACGGGATAGTGACATGCACAGTAGTAGGAGATGTGCCTTTTCAGCTCAAACCGGCAAGTGAGATGGAGGGTGAGCAGAATAAAAAGAAGTATTTCCTCCACACGTCTGCATCACTGGACTATGAGGCCACACAGGAGTACAATGTGGTCATTGTGGCTGTGGACTCTGGAAGCCCCAGTCTAGCAAGTAATAACTCACTTATCGTCAAAGTGGGTGATACTAATGACAACCCACCCATCTTCAGCCAGAACGTAGTAGAAGTATCCTTCCCTGAAAACAATGCACCCGGTGAGAGGGTGACGAGAGTGACGGCTGTTGATGCAGACAGTGGAAAAAATGCTGAAATAGCCTATTCCCTAGATTTATCAGTGAATGGCATTTTCTCTATTGATGCAGACAGCGGAGACATCCGAGTAAACACCATCCTGGATAGAGAGCAAACAGAGCGCTATGAATTTAAAGTGATAGCTAAAGATAAGGGCATAAACACCCTTCAGGGTTCTGCAACTGTGGTTGTACTTGTAGCTGATAAGAATGACAATGAGCCAAAGTTCATGCAGGACGTGTTCACCTTCTATGTTAAAGAAAATCTAGATCCAAACAGCCCAGTTGGCATGGTTACAGTAATTGATGCAGATAAACACCAGAATGCAGAGATGGGCCTTTTCATTGAGGAGGAAGAGGAGATCTTTTCTATTGAAAACGAGACTGGGACTATTTTTTCCACCCTGTCATTTGACCGAGAACAGAAAACCACATACACATTCCGTGTTAAAGCTGTGGATGGTGGTGACCCTCCCAGATCTGCCACAGCTACAGTTTCCCTTTTTGTCATGGATGAAAATGACAATGCGCCAACTGTCACCTTCCCAATAAACAGCTCCTACACCCTTCTTCCTCCCTCCAGTAACATCAGAACGGTTGTCAGAACTGTTATAGCCACCGATACAGACACTGGAATTAACGCAGATCTGAACTACAGCATCATTGGGGGCAACCCTTTCAAGCTTTTTGAGATTGATGGGGGCACTGGGGTCATTTCACTAATGGCAAAGCTGGAGCAAAAGCACTACGGCCTCCACAGACTTGTGATCCAGGTGAATGACAGCGGGCAGCCTTCTCAGAGCACCACCACCCTGGTTCATGTTTATGTTAATGAGACCCTATCCAATTCCACCATTGTGGAGGCCCAGGTGGCTAAAAGCCTGAGCACGTCCCTTAACACGAACATTGCTGGCGACCCGAACTATGATCTGAGCAAGCAGCGATTAAGCATTGTGATTGGAGTAGTTTCAGGCATCATGACTGTCATTCTCATCATTCTTGTTGTTGTCATGGCTCGCTATTGCCGCCCTAAAAATAAGAATGGCTATGAGGCTGGCAAGAAGGATCACGAGGACTTCTTTACACCACAACAGCATGACAAATCCAAGAAGCCCAAGAAAGATAAGAAGAAACAGAAGTCCAAACAGCCTCTTTATAGCAGTATTGTAACAGTCGAGGCCTCCAAACCCAACGGGCAGCGGTACGATGGCGTCAACGAGAAGCTTTCGGACAGTCCCGGCATGGGTCGTTATCGCTCTGTCAACGGTGGACCAGGAAGCCCGGACCTGGCACGGCACTACAAGTCCAGTTCACCTCTCCCCACTGTTCAGCTTCATCCACAGTCACCAACAGCTGGAAAAAAGCACCAGGCAGTTCAGGACCTGCCCCCTGCAAATACCTTTGTTGGCACCGGAGATAACATTTCCCTTGGATCTGACCATTGCTCTGAGTACAGCACTCAAACCATCAACAAGTACAACAAACAGGTAAGAAGGCACATCTTAGTGTTTCTTCGTTTCCCTCCACCACTCTTAAATGTCTTCTGCTTTTTCCTCTTAGTGTTCTTGCCACCATAATGCTTTCTGACAGTGCTAGTCTCAGTAGTCTTGTTGTCTTTATGGTGCTAATGTGTGTCAAGTTAGCGGTATTGATCTGTTTTGGTTTGGAGTGCCATTCACATATGATTTTGAAAGAAAAGAGAGAGGTTCAGATACGATTTTGTGGGGATGCAGTTGCCACTTGAACAAACATGTCCAACTTTTTCATTTTTTTTGTACTTTCATCCCAGCATGTGTCGAAGTTGCATTTTCCGTCAGTGTCACAGCTGCTAACCCTCGCAAATATGTGTCATGGTGTTGTAGACAGCTCACATACGGATTTGGTTTGCGGTTATTTTATCCCAAAAGGGAGTGCAGCAGGGGCCCTCAACACCCCCACCACCTTAGCTATGTCAAGCCTTGACCTGCCCTTTATCGGTGTACTTGTCCTTTTTGTGGATGGCAGGAAAGAAGAACAGATGCATAAAACCGACGGTTTGCATCTTCAGTGCAGCTTGGCATTGATTTGTGAGTCAGTTTTTACAGTCCGTTTGTATAGGAGCACCCATCCACGAGGTCATACTAACATTCGTCTTTGCTTTGAGGTCTGCATCAATTCATTGACCCAGCAGTGAAAATGGCCTTTTATATCACCTCCCATAGTGCACCTCAGTGTCTTGTACTCCTTTATCTTTTTGCCTTTCTACAAATGCTCGCCATCTGCTTCTCCTCCATCCTCAACTTTGCCTTTCTCTTTTCCTTAGTGTATGCTTTTCTCCTTTGTGACTCTTTCCATCTTTTTCTGTTGGCAAGGCGTTTGATATCAAAATTTCAGGAAATGCAAGCTTCCATTAACACAGTTTATGTATATTTATTAGTGTGGTAATTCTTCCCGTGCGAGGTGAAACAAAAAGGAAGGAATGACGTGAAAGCCCAACAAAACAAGCTCATTTTTATTTCTCCGGAAAAGGAACAATATGCTTTTACTCTACACTCTGATGAATTATTGATTCTTCCTTTTACTTGGTTTCAGCGCTACTCTTTTGGAATTTTATGTATTTCTGACTTGCTTGCCCATTTTGTCATTCTTTCTTTTTGAACGCTGTTCCTTTGTAGGCTGTTCCTGTATTAGCTGCTCATTGTTGATTTTCCTGTTCAGGGCATGTATATAAGGTCTTTTGCATCTCTTCATCCGTCCGTGTTGGACTCTTTTTTTCCTCCCTTTCTTCCTCTGTGTTCTCAGATTTTGCCACATCACACCCTTTACAATGCCTCCCTCTGCCCTGGCTTTTTCCCTCCCTTTTTATGGTCGTAGTTTCTTTTTTAATCTTCACCCTCATCTCTCTATAACCCATACTCCCCCTCCCTTTTTGCTATTTCTCCTCTCAAATCATTTCGGACCTCCCCACTTTTTTCTTTACCCCCTCCTTTCCCCCAGGTGCTCTGTCTGTTACAGCCTCTAATACGGTGTATTCACCGAGCTGCTTCCCAGAGTGTGAGGACTGCTGTTGCTTTTGGATGTCTCCTGCATAATTAAAAGGGCACTCTATTTGCTGCAGCGGCAGTAGCATGTATTGTGTGTCACTATGCTCCGCTTATATAATTTATTTATTCTCCACATTGATGCTGCAGAAACCTTTATGGGCTGTGCATTTGTTCGAGGCAGTCCTCCTAAGGGTTTCTTTTTCTTCAAGTTTGAGATCTTAAATATCAATAGAATGTCACATTAAAACATCTACAAGATAAGATCATTTGTGTTTACGATCTGGTGCACCTGGCTTGGCGTTTAAAGTGCAGTAGCTGGCAGGTATTCTGATTTTCTTATAGCATATAGAGTCAGTAGATGCGGATTGCAGGGATGAATCTGGTGCAGTTCAATGCCTGCAAATGAGATCTAATTGAAGAGAAGGTGTTTGCCCATGTGCCCCAATTATGGCATTTAAGAGCCACCTCCTTATTAGATTAAGAAGCGAAGTGGTCATGCTCTTGGTTTTAGGAGCGCTTCTAAAAATATTCTGTTGTCTGGTAAGAGCCACCCAGGCTAAATTTCGCTAAACGTGCAAGGACACGTGCGAGCCTCGAGAGTTTCTATGGATAATACGGATTGGTGACAGAAAATCTCAAACTGTATATGGACTAGAGCCATCGCTTGGAGAAAAAAAGTATTTTGTCATTGATTTAGGGAGTGTTTTTTTTAACCACACGTACATATATAATTTGCCCTTTTTTCTAACATTTGGCCTCAGATGTTACTCACCATGTTTGAAGTGCCTGGATATATGAGAAGTAATGATACAGAATATTCTTCTGCGGGTGTGTGGGAGGAGATAGAGACAAGCGCAAGAAAGACTGTTAGTGGTGTAGAGAATGGCCCCTACTGTTTCACGAGGGGACTTGAGGTTTGGTGGAAAGACAGAGATAAAGAGAGAGAGAGGGGGAGAGGAGGGAGATGGAGAATAGGGCCAAACATTGACTGTAATCTTGGAGGTATCCTCGCCCACCTAATCCTGCAATATCTGCACATGCAACCTGCTTGGGCAGGTAACCAGCCAACTGGGGATGTTTATCATCAAGGCAAGCCTTACGTTTTTAGCCCATTAGACATTTGTATGGTCATTTAGCTGAGATAAGTCGATGGAGGGTACAAGCGTATCATTTAGGGTTTCAGGGTTTCCTCTTGTCCATACTTTTCCCCATTTTGGCTATCCAAGACTCCTTCCACTTCCTTGCGTGCTGGCAGCATCCTAAGGCTGATGAGCAGTGGTTTCTCTTAACAGAGCACTAAACTTTATTACTGTTGGCAGTAGCTCCTGTCAGAAAATAATGCAGTCCAGCCGTAATGTTGGGAGAAACGAAATCGCTTAGCCATTGAATTAGCAAAGCCCATAAGCTTTCGTTTCATCATTGCACTTCAAAGATCCACTTGTGCCCAGGTGGATCACTTTTAATCAGCGGTGAGCCACCTCAGCTTGTGCTCGGCTCTCTCTCAATGTTAGCACCCCTCAGGGCAGACGAAGACCAGACCCACCCACTTACAGCCGGCTTTCTCGTCTCTTGGCTGTTGCAGCAAGAAGTATGGGACTTTGCCCTTAACTCGGCTCCCAGTGCTCTTGTTTTCCTTCTTGTTGCTTGGACCAGCTGTTCCTCCAGTCCCATTTCCATACTTTACAACACAAGCCTAATGTGAAGGGGTCTAATTTGCAAAGGGCACCCCCACCCTTCTCTTGCCCTACGGCACTCGAACAGGACAAATCATATCGTCGTGCAAATAGAGGTCACCGAGGTGGTGTTTGTAGCCAAAACATCGGATGTGGCTGCCCTCGAGGTTGCTGGCAGATCAGGAAACCTATATGGAAATGTAGTGCTTTGCCTATGGGCTTGTTTGTTTTAAGCTAAGAAATGATGCCTAAACACTTTTAAAAATGCCACATTTAGAAATCTAGCCATTAAATTTACAAACACAAATGTAAAGGTATACCGACTCCCTTAAAATGGCATTCTGAGGGTTTTACCAGTGAAATGAGTATACAAGTGCCTCTCTTAAAAGACCAAAGAGGATCTTTGGTCCCTCACAGGTCCATTTTGATTTCAACAAGAAGGAAAACATTTTTTCTGCATCTTAAATTCCAAACAGGTTTTCTAAACCTGTGGAAAAAAGGCCCATCTGGAAACCTTTAGTCAGAAATAAGACAAGCTGGTTTGTTTTTTGCCATGTTAATTTTAGCTCTCGTACGTGGTTCCACTGACGGTCGCTAATGCTATCGAAATTGTTTTGGGTCTATTACAGCTTAATTCAATCTATGGCCGCTCAGGCTTTTTGTTGTTTACGTTCTGAAAATGGGGAAAATGGAAGGAGTATGAGTGCATGGTAATACTCGTGAAATAGCAGCGGGCAGCATTTTCTGGTATAATTTTGTTTGGTGATTTGAATGCATTTGCTCCAAGGCAATTACTAATCTAAGGATTAGACATACCTGATATGCAGGCAGAAATGGTGAGCACCGAGAGGGGGAAAAACACCAAGAGATTGCTCTAGCCGCTCACAACAGTGTCTGCAATATTACGCTGCATAATATTTTAATACTGAGGCTTTTCTTGCTATGTATAGGCATATAAATATTGCTTTTTCTGTCTTTTTCTTAAAAAAACCCTCCTTTTTTCAAAGCGCGTGGGCTCAGTCACTTGCAAACAAACACTCATGACTGGAGAACCTTGAAGAAGCCTCAACACTTGTTAAGATGGCGAACAGACAGAGAGGGGAAGAGGGTGAAGGAGACGAGAAATTTAAGCCGCATGCCACCTTGATTGCTCTCCAAGCCGCTGATTGTAAGTGGCAGTCTTGAGGATGCCACCTTCTTCTCTTTCAATTTGATGCCATCGAAAATGGAATTTCATTTCATACTCAGCAGCGATCGCATTAGATAGGGCTCACCAGGATAAAGCCGATTCGTATTTGCAGATTTCCTGAGGCACTATCAATCACCGCGCACTCTCCGTATTACGGACTTGTTTTTCACGGCAATTGTTAGAAGGAGTTTGTACAGTAAATTGACTTTTACAAGGCTCCCAAGGTTTATGATATGCCATGCCAGCCCGGTTGTTTTCTCCATAGTCGACCCCTTGCATCGACTCTCAGAGCCAGAATCCACTAAATGAGAACATCACTTAGCTCCATTGCTGCACGACCCTGGGGAATAGTTCTCCATCGAGGATCTGGATCACAACACGGGTCAAATGTAAGGCTTGTTATTTGTGAGACTAATAGGCAAAATAATAGCCTTGTTTTTGCGGCTATGTCTGGTTAAGTTGGATAAACTGGCTGTTTTCTTTTTTCCTGTTTGTGTTTTGGAGTAAAGGTCACAGGCCATTTGTTCTTTTGATGTTGATCCAGACAGGTGGCAAGGGAATTTCTGAATTCATGCGTGTTCTTTTTTTTTTTTTTTTTTTCC